GGAAGATGGCACGGCGGCCACGGCGAGAGCAGGCCCAACAGCCCTCCCACCCCACCCCCGCTCCAGCTTCCGGGCCAGGGCGCTAGCGGAGAGGGCCGCGCTGGGGGCTGAGGAAGGAGGGGTGGCTGAAGACGTCTCCGCTTCAACCCACGTGCGTGGTGTGGCGAAGTCCCCAAGCGGAGCCGGTCCAGTCAGCCGTCCACCTCCGCTCCTTACAGCGCGCGCCCAGCCCCCGAGCGACAGCGCGCGGCCGCTCCGGGCGGGGTCTCTTCCGGCCCCCGGAGGCCTGACCTCCGCTTCCGGTGCACGCCCGCCGGGCCGGGGACGGAGGCCGGCCGGGCTCAGAGCGCCCCTCGGCGCCCGCGGGCTGGAAGAGGGCGTCCTCCTTGGTAGGGACGCTAGGGGGCGCCGGCGGGCTGTTCAAGTTTCTTCACTCTCCCTCCTGACGGAAAGACAGATAGTTGTACCTTATATTTAGGAGTATTTCTTCATGTTTGATGGCTGTCTGAATGTCTTCTCAGGTTCTCTGCCCATTTTAAGTTGAATTATTGTTGTTTTTTCATCATTTTTTCCCCTGTGATTCCTGTTCCCATCCCCTCTCCTAACACTCCCAACTTGGCCTTGTGTAGATGCTATGTGATTATTTTACGGAGGGCTCCTTTCCTGGTATCATCCCCCCTTACGGGCCTGTTTATTGCAAAGCTGAAAATGGAGCCACGGGGGCGAGTTTGTTTGTAGACCTGGGAGGCCCATAGTCTTGGGGTTCCGCCAATCTCTGACCAGGAAGCAGTCTTTTCTACAAGTTTTGGTTTTGTTCCCTATTTTTGACTGACTATTCGGGGGCTTCTAATGGGATCCCTTTCAGAGCAGTTAGCAATGGTACCGTCTAGTTCTGGTCTGAGTCACTAGCACATTCGGGCTTATTGGGCTAATTCGGGCTGTTCAAGTTTCCTCACTCTCCCTCCTGACGGAAAGACAGATAGTTGTACCTTATATTTAGGAGTATTTCTTCATGTTTGATGGCTGTCTGAATGTCTTCTCAGGTTCTCTGCCCATTTTAAGTTGAATTATTGTTGTTTTTTCTCATTGTTGTTTTTTCTATAAACTTTAGAGATTTGTCCCTTTTCTGTCGTTGCCAATTCTTTCTCCATCTGTGGATTTTCTCTTTTTGTGTGTGAAGTACTTTAATGCACGAGTGCCCAATTTCTAGATCCCAGTCTTCTACTTTGTCTAGTTTGTTTTCAGTTATGCTTGATGGTGCCATAAACTATGGCTTCTCTTTTCCACCAATGACTTGTGTGTTTCTAGGTTTTACATTTAAGTCTTTGAGCTCATTTTTATATATTATGTGAGAATAAAGGCGGCTTTTTTTGTGTGTGCAAGTGAAGAGGTGGTTTTGCCAACATTATTGATTAACATTTGTTATCCCTTCTCCATGTGCTCTAGTTTTTTGTCAAGGTTAGCTGCCCATAGATGGGCAGTTACTTCGAAGTTCTTAATTTTGCCCCATTAGTTGATGTGCCTATTGCTGGACCAGTACCAGGCTCTTTCTACTACCATGGCTGTCATTGTTGAGATCTGGAAATGTGACCTTCTTCTTTTAAATCGTGATGTTCCTCCGGGATCAGTTTTCCTAAGCTATACTATTTATGGGAGCAGATTGTCAGGTCTTTTTCTCCCAGAGCCACTTATGGTCTAACAGCTCAGTATTTAACCATTGTACCACAATGGCTCCTGACGAACTACCAATAATAAGCGCTATAAATTACTAGCTGTAAATATGACTAGCTATTTATAAATATATAAATATACATGGACTGATGGCATATTACACTCTTAAAAGAACCACTTTCCCTACACAGGTACAGGTAAGAGCTGGAGACACAGGAATCTAGGCCAGATAAACTCCTCAGGTCCAATGAGAGTAGTGATACCAGAAGGGGAAGTTGAGGGGAGGAAGGGGGAACCGATCACAATGACCTACATATCATGTCCGTTCTCCCAGGGGGACGGATAACAGAAAAGTGGGTGAAGGGGTACATCAGACAGTGTAAGACATGAAAAAAAATTTAATAAATTATCAAGGTTTCATGAGGGAAGATGGGGGAAGGAGAGGAAAAATGAGGAGCTGATACCAAGGGCTCAAGTAGATGTTTGGAAAATGATAACAAATATACAAATGTGCTTGACACAATGGATGGATGGGTTGTGGTAAGTGCTATATGAGTACCTAATAAAATGACTTTAAAAAAACAAACCACTTCCCCTGAGCTGTTCATAGGTACGGTGCTCTGAGCAGTGCCAAGAAACAGAATGGGAAGACATCTCCACATCTAAAGATGAACATCACAGTGAAGGCAGTCAACCTCCCAAGCAACAGTCTGCCTAGAACCCATGAACCTCCTATCCGCTCCCTATATGTACAGCTAAGAACCACTGTGACAGAGGAGACCTCACCTCCGCTGGGGTCAGTTTCTCAAGAGGGGGGGGGGGGGAGTTGCTACCATAAACTCTGCTATAGTCACCCCAAATCAAAAGTGATAAGTAAACTTCTAAGTCCAGATGGGGGGTGGAGGACATGTATGCCTGATAGGTTATTACATTTCTGTTGGTAGGTAAGCAGGGATGAACAACCTCCCAGTAGGTAAAAAACGCTAAACACTTAACCTATCTAGAACCCAAGGGGAATGTGGTAGATAACTTCCTGTCAACTCTAATAAGATATAAAAGTGAAGGGGTGAAGTTTAGCCTGTCAATCAAATCCCACCTTGATGACCTAATTTAGAGGTGTTGAGATAAATGGCTCTGGAGGCAGGCCACCCTCTCTGCCTTCACCTTCCTGTTGGTGAGCCACGCAGCTGAGATCTGCGAGTCTTGTGATGCTTCCGCTCCCATTGGACTCACAAGACCCTGCACCCACTGGCCTGTGATCCTCCTGTGGTCTGCATGATTGCATGTAGTTGCATGAATCTGAAGAGGGATTTATGGACGAGTATCGGGCGTATAGACTTGATCTGGACAGGGCTGGGATGGTTTCCTGATATATAACTGTTTCTTGATTAAAGCTCTCTCACAGAGTGTCACTTTCTCTAATCAACGTAACCTAACACAGAGCGCCTATGCCAGGGCTGTGATCCTACTTGGACATTTTTGACCTAGTTCCTGTTCACCCTTTGTGACCCAATTATATAGCCTACTGGGACTTAAGACTCTGTCCTTTCAAGATTCTCATCTCTCATAGGCCACACCAGGACTTGATGTGGAAACTACTCTGTGAACTGGGATTTACCTCAAACACGCCTGTCTTTGGACTGAAGGCTGAGATTCTCTAGTGTGAGAGCAGATGACTGCTATCCCCAGGGCACAGAACCAGTGGTTATTGGACTTTGGTTTGGCATCTCTTGCTTTGAGGGTGCCAATGAATGGGGTGGCCTAGGACTACAATATACTACTGTCTGTTTTAATGCCCCCCTTGTTTTATTATGACATGTATTAATCTGGTAGGGAAAGTTCTGCGGATGTGAATAAATGTTATTAGAAGTTTTGCCCTATTACCCTCCCCCCCACTGTTTGTGAAAATAGTGTCCAGACACTTGAGTTTAATCTATACAAGTCAACAGTTCACGTATTGTGGTTCACAGCTAACCTATACTTGTATAATTTCCTTTTCCCAACAGTGTTTTAAAACTGTAACAATGGCTAAACTAATGACACCATCAATAGAATTACCTTATGCTTCATGGGGGTGATTGATAATGTTCTCTAACATAAAATGCTAATGATGTCTCTAAGGTGAATCAGAGATGATATAAATAACCCAAAGATCTATCGATTACTTTTGAGCTCAAACTTGATTCTAGCCCCAACCTAGGCACAATTAGCCCCACTTGATGCTCGCCCTCATGAAGAGATCACTGAAGATATGGTGCTATAATGAAAAGAAGCAAAGAAACTAGATGGTGCCCAGTTATTAGAAGGAATGGCAACTGGGAATCTTAATGGATTGTTTTCAAAATAGCAGCCATCTAAGTGAAGTGTCAACTAAGTCCACATGGAAGCAGCATACCCGTTTGTGTGATATAAGAATTGTAAATAATAAAATCCAAATCTTTAAAAGGGAATGGTATCAGAGCTTAAATTTTGAACACCTGGTTATCATTAGGATATGGATGACAGAAGTCCAAAATCCACTTGCAGAGTGCACGTATGGATTAGACCTCTAGTGAATCACTTCTGATCATAGTCAAGGGCCGGGAATTGCTATCATGCAGAGTGCACTGGAAGTGGAGTCTCACAGATGCAGTTAAAATATTTTCGGCTTTCTTTTCTACTAAGGTTTTTCTCTGTTTTACTTTATTGCTGTGATTTTCTGTTTTTATGTATACAAAATTCAGGACAGGTAAGTCTATAGTTAGTAACTGGATTAATGGTTTCAGGGGAGGTTGGGGGGAAATGGGGAGCTAATAACGAGTATAAGAAAGAAGAAAAGTTTCTAAAAGGTTCTAAAGTTGACTGTGGTGATGACAGTACAACTCTTAATATACTTTATTATTGAATTGTATGATGTGAATTATATGCCAGTGACTCTCTTAATAAATATAAACAAAACCGTCTATTAACATTGGACTCTCTAACTTTAACCACGTAAGCACCAGGGAATGAAAGATTCCTTCATTTTTGCTTTTCCAAGCAAATGAGATCAATACTTGATAGACTTAATGTCTCTTCATTGGCTTTCAACATACTCAGCTTTAACACTGAGATTCAGTACATGAGAATCCTGAATAATTTTACACAAACAAAAATTCTTTCATCTTTTAAAAACAGCAACACCAATCTCCCCCATCATTTATTTTTGCCAATTTAACTAAGATTCTCAAGTCCCCTTACTCATATTGGGTCAGGCAATACATACATAGGCTGAGATCGCAGGCTCCACTACCAAAACCGTTCAATCAGGTTTTTTGAAGCGAACTAAGTGAACTCACAACACAAGCATGTAATTAAGAGTCAATATTTATTCTGATTAATATTTTACAAAATTTTCACAGAATTAATTTATGTAAGGAGAGCTAATTTATTAAACACTTTACAGGTTTTTCTTTCCACAGAGTAACACAGTAAGTAATAAAATAATACTTGGCACAGTTATAAAGAAAATATTTTTAAAAAATCCATAGTTTAAGATGTAATAATGCTGTTTTACATTTATTAATATTTTAAATAAGTTCCTGGGAACATGAAAAATTATGAATAAAAACTCCAAGGAAGAAATTCATGTCTGGGCTGAGGCTAAATTAAATTGCTACTTGCTAAATTATCCAATTAAGCTGATGTGCACTGTTCCCCAATGTGTCACCCTCACACACGTTAGCAGTGGATTAAATTGGTTCCACACACAGGGCCTACGAAATAATTTAAAAGACGGTAGCTGCTGCACGGTTGGCTCCGTATCATCTGCCCATTTCTGAGTTACAGATTTCATTTGTACTATGAGATGGTTAGTACTAAAGAATTCACATTGGTAGTATTTCCCATATAATTTTACATCCCAGAGGGTTGTCTTTTTCTCTGTTTAACTACAGATATGTCATGTGCACTAAAAAGAATATTGTACCACAAAGAAAGAAAATGGTAACAACACTCTTATCCAAACTTGGAGAAAACTACCAGTCTTCAACCAACTGTTCATAAAAATGTATTTGATAAAAATCAAAACTGAGTTTTCATGTGAAGTGGCTCAAAATACAAAAATTAAAACAAAATTCTACTATTGTATAAATAACTTTGAATTCAAAAAATATCTAAAAATTCCCCCAATTAGTAGTCAAAACTAGCAGACACATTTGTAAAATTAACCAGTTTCTTACATTCTATGACAAAAATGGCACAGTGCTATTGCCACCCCACACCCTCTCTTTCCTTTTCAAAAATAAAGTACATATGCCAATTTTTCTAATATTAAAACACTCACATACACTAAGGGTAGTCTTTTTTGATGTGTGACTTGTGGTCAAAGGAACAACTATATATTTATATATATATATATATAAAAATGTACTTGGAAATACTGAACATCAACTATATACATTTTCACTGCTCCTCTTACTAAGGCCAGGGGCGGGTTATACCACTAGATTGCTTTAATCCCTGTAATCTGCGTTTTACAGGGAAAACTAATTTTACCAAGCAGCAGACATGCAGTGAACTTGCAGGGTGTAATGCCTATTAACAGCAATATTGGACAGCACTAGAAGCTCATTAGTTATCTCCCTTTTCTTTTTGGTTGGATAAAATGAAATGAGCAGCTTTAAATACACTAACACATACAGACACAAGGAGAAAACTATTTGATAAATTATATATATACAGATACACATTCTTTACACTGGTCTAGGATCTGTTATCAGTCTGACCACCCACCCACCTACCCCGTTCCCTCTCACAGGTTTCCCACAGGTTTCTCGAACCACAGTTTGCTACAGCACATTAGAGGACTAAACCAAGTCTTACCCTGTAAACAATATTTATGAAGCAAGTGTCTAGTAGTTCACCTTGAGAGTATGGAAATGCTGTAACACAAACTGATCAGTGCATCATGTTTACAGTAAAAAAATCTTTCTGAACTGTTTACACAGAGCTTTAATGAATTTAAAAACATTCAATATTAGGAAAATTGAAATAATCTTTGGGATTAAATTCTATGTTCCGATAGGTCATTTTTGAAAAACCACATATACCATTAGTTTTTCTTTAATTCACATGTGCTATGTACAGAGATCATGCTCCATCTTTAGATAAATGCCATTATTTTGCCTACAGTTTATTTTGCATCTTGGAATTTTAAGAAATATCCATTTATATCTAGGACTTAAGAATTTTGAATTAACTTATTTGTTCTGCCTTTCCTGGAAATGTCACCTCAATTCTTAAGAATTATGCTATTTGCACAGCGAGGTAAATTCTAAGTTATACTCACTGGATAGTGTCTACTAGTATACATCCTACAAAATTTATCATGCACTTAGTAGGGCTTTTAAGTTTGAACAAAATAATGTGACTTACGATGCTCATGCAAGTGCTTTATCATCAGACCAGAAGACCCCAGCGCAAGGTTACTACAAATTATTTTACTGAACTAGAAACACCAGCCAGGCAACAGCTGATAGAAAATATTTTTAGCACATTTTTTAAGAACATTATTTTCTTACGCCTTTGAAGAAACATTGCAGTAGATCCCTAATATGACCACATGATTTGTATCACATTACTTACATGTACATTCTAAAATGTACACAGTATGAATCGGAATCAATTTGAGACGACTCTTCTGGAATGAGATGCAGTTACTATCAGTTGTTAGGTGCTGTTGGGTTGGTTCTGACTCAGTAGATTGCATCATAAACAGTAGCTTGCATCACAAAGTGTAACCATATGCTGTAAATTTCGTTTTAACTAGAATCAAGCATTTCTAATCAGTACACCATATCTGTCAACAGAATAGTCCACTCTCTTTTCATGGAAAGTATGAGAACAAAACCCAAAAGTTGAGTAGGTTGGAAATTTCCACATGAAGAACCATTAAAATCCTATGGCATTTCTTCTTTCCAGTAGTGGCAGTGTGTTCTGTCCATCTTTACTTCTGTTAATAAAAGTGTTGGAAAAAATAAAACTGTAAAATTAATTGTTAGCCCTACACACAACATGCTATTGTTCAAAGGATGTGGATTCGAGAGTGAGAGAGACACGGACAGATACAGTTTTCAGGCACCACTCAGCAATCTGCTTCATTAGAAAATAGGCTGCTACACAAGCTGGTACCCAGATCCTGATATCTGGTCATATTCTATTGCATACTGCCTGGTCCAGTCCACAATAACAGGACGAAAGAGGCCACAGCATCGAAATTCAAAGAAGTCTATGACGTTTCTTATACATCCATGGCTAAAACACAAATAGAACCCAAAGTAAGTAAACAGAGTAAATAAGAACAATGATTTAATATAACATTCAATATAATTTTAATATTTTTTTCTAACTGTAAAAACCCGTTACTTGTCAAATTGTACTTCCATCTTTTGATTTATCCATGTATGATTTATCTGTTTGCCCCCAGTTTTGCCAACAATTATTTTTTTCTATTTTGTTAATTTAATGGGTGATAAAATTCAATTTTAAAGTTATTCACTTATCAATTTTTTCATTCCAGTGTCATATGCCATTTTTAATAAATTTTAATCATATGCAATTTTAATAATTATTTTATAGATAGATGGATCTTTGGAAAGAGGAAAATTAATTCCAAAACTGAGAAAGTGTAAGAAAAAATAATTATAAGTAATATGGATCTGGGAGTAGACATAAGAGTAACACTGACATTAAAAATAAAAGACAAAGGGATTAAGATAAGCAACCCAGAAATATTAGGATTTCAATAACATGATATATTTGGAAATGTAATAAGTATTAAACTGTATAAAAATTATACTTATGGGAGATTTCTCAAAACCACCAAGCTGCCTGTCTTATGTTTGTTTTTATTTAAAGGTTTGCTTGTTTTCCAGAAACACAAAAGAATAGCACTGGAGAAGCATGAGGGTAATGGCAAGTACCTCAAAGTTTTAAATATTTAATACAATTAGGACACTTGTTTCTAGGTATCAAACTGAATGCAAATTATATATACGTATGTGTACACACAAATACGCATCTACATACATAAAGGTGCTTTTGAAAGCTCATTAAAAAAAGGAAATCAAAAAGGGTTATTTCCACAAACTTTTTGAAACCCCTTACATTTACATTTCTTTATATACAGTTAATGTGAAATGACCAATGGTACTTCTTGAAGAAATTTTATATTGAAGTAGATTTGTAAGTTTCTTCAAGTATTACTAAGTAAACAAAATAATGCCCACTTCAAACTCTACTGCCCCACTCAACTAACATAATGCTCTCTCGTACTCACTAAATGGTTACTGAATTCAGTCCGTAAGAAAATTTAAATAACAAGGGAAAATATTCAAGATACAAATGTGTACATACTTGAATGGGCTTTCAATAGATGTTGTTGTGACTTTAAAATGTTTGTATCTTCTGGCATTCATCCTTTCATTTGTAGTAATTCCCAAGCATGATATCTAACAGGTAAAAGCAAGCAAGCCATTACTCACTCTGAATGTATCATATTTTAAAAGCTTATTTTCAAAAGGACTGGGATGGAAAGAAAATTATAAAGCGTGAATTTTGGTTCTCCAAGAGAAGATCGTCAAGTTCATTTACATGAGGTCATTATCACTGTGTAAAGTAGTCAGCTAAATGGGAAATATATTTAAAAACAGGTTGCTTGGCATTGTGGCCATGGACAGATTTCCATTATGCACAAACAAGTTCACCACTACCCTCCTTAAAAGGGTACTTTTTAAAAACCATAATTTAAAATAGTAAACAAATAGTTATTATTTTGGATCATAAAAATTATACCATGAGCATAAAAACTAAATGAATAGCATTATCATTCTAGCTTCCTATTTTATCTACTTGGATGTATTTGAAACCGGGACAACAGGAATATAAAGCTCTGCCTGAATGTCAAAAGTTCTTAATGTGAAACTAAGACAGAACTTTGGTCTCTATTGGTCTCTAGTTGTCTGAATTAAAGGTGAATGAAATAAACTAAAGTCTTAAAGAAGAATTTAGTTCACATAAACCATACCTTTTCTAACATGAAACCAAAAGAACTAGATGGTGCCTGACTATCAATACAGACCATTCTAACCAGTGACACAAGAGAAGGTCCTGGATAGAATGGGAGAAAAATTTAGAACGAAGTTCAAATTCCAAAAACCAGCAAGACCTACTGAAGACCAATAGAGAAACCCCTAAAATACCCTTTGAACTTGGCACTGAGCTTATAAAACAATATATCCATGAGTAATGTGCTCCCTTCCACAATCAACTATGAAACTAAAGGGTCAACGTTTACCCAAAAGCAAAGATGAAATAATAAAGCAGGAGAAGGAAAGCTGGACCAATGGGAACACCAAGCAGAATGGAAATGAGAATGCTGATACATTGTAAGAATTGTTCAATTTCACAGTATAAAGCTAGGTAAGTGAGAACCAAGTCTGCTGTGTTCAATTTTACTTAAAATGTAATAGAAATATTTTAAAGCATTCTTAATATGAGAAAAAGGAGAGGATACAGATATAAACTCATGGCTATCAAGTAAATTCTGACTCACAGCAACCCTACAAGATAGGGTAGACCTCTCCCTGTGGGTTTCTGAGACTTTGTGGTATCTCTTTATGGGAATAGAAAGCATCTGGTGGTTTAGAACTACTGGCCTTTTGGTTAGCAGCCCGACAAGAGAAGATAAATCCACAGATAAAATGAATCACTGAAAGCTTGAATGTTTCAAAAGAGAATAATACATCAGTATCTTTTAAGCAGAGTCTGAACTTTTATGAACGTTTTCAGTTAGCACACTAACAAGCACACATATACATACCTGGTACATCTGACACATGAGTAGTACAGCCACCCACATGAAATGAAAAACACTGTTCAGAAACATCCAAAACATCCAAGGTGAACATGTGGCAATTTGAGTAATATATGTCCAAAATCCATCCTTGGTGTAAGTGGTCTCACAGTGGAGTCCCCAGTCTAAACCAGAGCAGAAGTATTCATATGTACTCAATCAAACACCCAATGTATGCATATGTACTAGGCACTGCTTAGAAAACATGGTCAACGAGTCTAGATTTATGTCATAATTTTCAATAGCAAATGTTTCCTATACATTTTAATAACAATTAGATGCTAATAAAAAATTTTTAATGGGAAAAAAATTTTTAATGGAAAAGCAGTAACCAATCTTTAAAATTTTACTTTATGTTAGGAATAGTTTTTTATTTAATTGGCATTGCATACATATACTCAAAAGAACATTTTCTTTATACAAAAATAAGAGGATATACCAAGGGGCCGCAAAGTTTGTGGAAAACCACAATGAAAACATAATGAAAATTTTCCTTGGACTTTTTGAAGCTCCCTCATATATATAAATGAGATTTTACTTTTGAAGGGGATAGAAAACATAAAAGGGTCGCCTTGGTGAGGTAAACTGCTTCCAACATAAGTCTCCTACTCTCTGAGAGCCACTGCCACTCTTTGAGAACCGTTAAAGAATAACGGTTGCAGGACTGTGTTTCGTAAAGATCTCTGACTAGAACTATTCATCTCTATTTGTCAAAGTGAAGCATCCAGCTTCCACTACATGTTTTTTGTGACAAGATTGGCCTGAAGGATAGTGAGTTTACATCACCAGTGTTTCTGTAGTGAAATTTGCACATTCTCATGAGACCAAGTGGAAAACAGCACTCCCAACCCTATGTTTGATATATTGATGTCTATACTAATTTCTTCTGCTTCAGTAGTGAACATATGAACAAATTCCTTGATAGTGATCTAAAGATCAGATAATTCTTTTTCAATCTCTGCTCCATGTACCACAGAGCCAGAAAATAACAGGTTGAGATGTTTACTTCTAATGTCTATGAAATGGCTAAAGAGAATACACCAATCTGATAGAGCCTAACACCGCCAACCAAGGACATTTTGTTGAAATCTCACTTTTGTTCCTAAAAATTGAACAAGTTTAATATTCTATACCATAAAATCTGTGTTTGAAGAGGTAGCAGTGCCAAGACATTATTCCAACTATCTCTGCAGACAGAAATATGAAGAAAGCATCCCTCTACCCAGGTTTCATTTTCAAACCAGGATCTAATGCATATTATGCTGTGTCACAAAATCCTAAAGCACAATAACTAGTATCTTCATTTAAACTTTTGCCAAAATGTGTTCTCAGTCCAATAAAAAAATATTTCCACTAAGGTATTAAACTTATATGGCTGTGAATGAAAACTTATTCTGGAAAGGGTAATGTCTATTACCTATCAATATTCTTAATAAGCAGTAATACCTTACTTTTCAGGATAATACAAGCCTTGTGCATATTTAACTTCAAGTACATTTCCCCAAATGTCTAGTTAAACAAAGGAACTAGCACAATCAAATACTGTAAGAACTACTAGGGAAAAGCAAGCACATGATGTGAAAAATGTTGGTGTATTTTTCCCAGAAGCTTTTCAAAGCCTATTAAACCAACACATTTTTCAGTAGACAAGAATTCAAAAAAGGGAAGTTGGTCAATAATTCTGTTTTCATATACTATATATTGAACATAATTTGATAATACTAAAATAGTTCTGTAGCTATTTTTCTCCTTTATGCTTCATTGTAGTAAGGTGCCCCACACCATAATTTTTAGTTTAAAACTTTTATTATAATCTGCTAATATGGTATCTGATTATGCAAACATTTATGTTTTAATAAGGCAAAAAACTAATTGTACTCACAAGAAATGCAACCATAAATCATCCAGCAGATCATAAAAAGCAAGAAGAATAGGTAGCCCATAAAGTATCTATGGTTGCCTGCACCTAAAGAACAACACAGAGCAATCTTTTTCAGCTAAGAAAAAACAACTGGTAATACACCTTTTGGGGGTATGCCATGAAAGGTGTGATATAACTTTGACAATAATCACATATATTAACTATTTTAAAGAATGTTTACAATAAAATAAATGTTTTAATAAAAGTCTTAAAAAAAGAATGCGTATAAAGATACATAAAGATGTGATGATTGCAATGATATTCATTCTGAACCAAATAAATCACAACTCTAAAGCTTAAACCGTACTCTTTGTTTTCTGAGATTTAATATGACCTTGATTTGTCTTTACTTTTGTGACTGTTGTAATACAGTTTTTCAAAGGCTTCTCCCCAGCAGGGTCGCAGCATCCGTGTAGTGCTTCCTTCCTGTAACCTCATAAAATGTCATGGTCACCCTCAGACCACTTCGTCCATCTCATCAGACTATGTAGTGAACACTGAGAGATGCTGAGTTCTGATTTTTCATTCTTCTCTGCCACTGTACATGAAATTATTTCAAATATCTTTACTACCTTATTTCCTTTAATTTAATTAAAGTAGAAATGTCCTTGTTAACTAATGGGTAACGTATGAAAGACCAGAAATGAACAGATAAATGTTATCAATCTTTTCCATACTTTTGACTTTATAGCCCCCTCCAACCCAACTGAGATAACGAGTTGGTAAATCAGAAGATAAATGAAAGTGAAGGGAATGCAGGGTGCAATAAAGCGTAGAAATGAACTTTTCTATGTCTAATATTGCACTTCATTAGTTATCTAAAATAATTTAAGTATTATAAATGAACAATATAATTAGAAATTACTAACATAACTTACCTACACAGTTACCCACCCATGGGCAATGATGATCAAATTTTGCTATGCAGCGGTTGCACACACCACAATGTTTGGACCTCACTGGTTTCCGTATCTGTCAACAGGCACGTTAAAAGGACTATAAAAGGCCATAACCAAGACAAAAACTGAACATTTACTTTCTCAAATCACAATTATGCAAAAGCAACTAGATTTTTTTGAGTAAAAGTGCACCATAATTTCCAAACAATAAAACCAAACAAAAATCATGACTCTTACCTTTTGAAATTTTAACTGGTAACAATAAACAGGATAAAGCTACTCCAGCATATAAACTTCCAAGATTACAATACAATGATGAATGTATAAAGTAACAAAAATATTAAAGACCAAATTACTATTGTTAAGAATGTTTCTCTCCATTCCTTAAATTTCTGAAAAGTGAAAAAAAATTTAAAGGGTAACTGTGTAGGTAAGTTATATCACACACAGAAAGAATCACAATCCAGGCTTCTAAATGAAGACCAAGTGTGATTAATGGTCATGATACTAAGCATTCACTAATGCAATAAAATCGTTCCTTAGTGAAATGAAGGCCAGATAGGTTTTGAATTAATAATGATTAAAATATGGCTGTTCCGCAAATTAGCAAATAACAGAATGTTGTCATTTGGTGTGCCGTCAAGTTGGTTCTGACTCAGTGACCCAATGTACAATAGAATGAACACCGCCTAGTGCGACAAACGGAAATACAGCATACACAAGACATCTATTTCTCTTACGCACCTCTTGAGAACTCAAAATAAGATATAGCAATTCCCTTGCTGAAATGTATGACCCTGGCTAAGAAAATGCTCAGGCAGTTTAAATAGCCACTGTTTCTTACAGAGACCATAAAATATTATTGAGCTCTTGACAGTCAAGAAAAAATTGTTTATGCTGTCTCAGTATTTAAGCCTTCTGGAATGCTTTTTATTCGACATTACTCTAAACTCACCAAGTGAAGTTAAGAACTCACTGGTGATCTTCACAAGTCTGGTAGTCTCGGTGCTGGCTATGTAACCAGTTACTAAGCCATACCAGGAACAATATTTGTAATATCACTCACTGGGGTTCAACAAAAGCACTCCCATTCCCTACGAGTTTGCAGAAGTTGTACACTATTTTCAGGTACCAAGGAAAAGGCACCTGAGGACTGTGTAATTCTTGTATCTACTAAAATAACACATTCTGGTGTGTGAAATGTCAGCCCTGTTTCTGGGTGTATTTGACCTGTGGATTCCAAAACTGGTACCAGCTTCCCATCAGCTATCACCTTTGAGATACAAGACACTCTTCACTCTGCTTACCCATTAAAAAAATCAACGAACAAAAACCCCAGGGTATTTTTATGTAGCGTTTAAATTATCTTTTAAGCATGAAGGAAACACATTAAAAATTAAGGCAAAAGTGTACTACGTGAAAATATACGTATTTCATACCAAAAGCACTTTTTTTCGGATAACACACTTTCCAGTCATTCGACATATAAGAAACTAGAGCAGATGTGTCCTAGCCAATGCAATTTCCTGAACCTGTGCCTCAAATAAGCCCAGGAAAAGGCACGAAGACAAACACGTTTTTGTTGGGCTGTGTAATCCAAGGACAAGAGGAATGGGTTATTAGCCACCGCGATCAAACGAAAGCTGAGGAGGAGAAATCTGTAAGGGCATAAACCCTTCTGTCCTGACCTGAAGTCCTCAGCCACACAGCCCTTTGGACAACACTCGTCAACTAAGTCTGAATCAAGGACTGCAGCAGGACTCCTGAACTTAACAGTCTTGCTGGTTCACTTACAGAATAATCAATTTTTATGAAACTCTTATGCATATGTGTTCTCAGGGTATGGAGCATTCCCATATAATGAATACCTCAGCCAATCTTAATAAGTGTATTAGAAAATACTGTCTTTATTTTATAGCATAGGCTCCCAAGCTTATTTGGCCTACTATCCCCTTTTCAAGGAAAAAAAAAAAAAATTAGTGCCCCACAAAAATTATTATTTTTAAATTTTATAAGGCATAATCCAGGATGATATATAGGTTTCTGCTTTTGCAGCACCCTACTCCCCCTATTCCAGTGGTTACAGCCTGCTTTGGGAAACTGCTTTGCAGCATTATATACCTAGAAGCCTAGTGGCACTAAGGGTTCAGCATTAAGCTGCTAAACACAAGGTTAAGAATTCAGACGGACAGTTGAAACCTGCTCTGCAGGAGAAGAATGAGGCTGTTTCCATACAGTCTCAGAAACCCTACACAGGTACCCCATGAGTCATAACCAGCTCAGTCCATGGCAGTAGGTTTGGCTTTGGTGATTTTATTAACTATCTGTAATATTATCTAGAGGTGCATGACTGAATATAATAAAATTTTTTATGATATTGATAAAAATAGTCTTGCTCTTGCCAATGGATATTTATTTACAATGAAACGACTATCTGTATTGAGCAACTACATAATTTGTTTGTCACATGGTAAGTACTTCATCAGTGAACATCTGACTCTGTGGAAGAGAATATTTCTACAGAAACAGTTGTTTATAAAAACATTCTAGGCACTAAGACAGGAATATCAATCATGTGAATGATTCTTAAGCCTAGAAGAGGCCTGAAAACACAAAAGAATATACGCATTATGTCATTATTCTAAAGTTATTATGAAAGTAGTGAAGCATATTTTGAAAATTCACAATCACAACTGTTCAATCAAAGAATATTAAGCAATTTAATTCATAAGTATAATGGGGGCTTTAAAAAGTTCATGGAAAAATTGAATTAAAATATGATGGAGTTTTCCCACAAACCTTTTGATGTCCTATTATAAAACTAGTGCTGGGAGGGAGGGGAAAAATGAGGACCTAATGTCGGGGGTTTAAATGGAGAGAAAATGTTTTGAGAAATGATGTACAAATGCGCTTTACACAATTGATGTGTGTATGGATTGGGATAACAGTTATATGAGCCCGTAATAAAATGTTAAAAAAAAAAACAAAAAACTAGTGCTAAATTTCAAAACTCATTGTACAACCCTATCAACCATTAATCAATTATTAACATAATGTTGATTTTAATGAAATTTCAATGTATAACTTAAAGGTATAAATATGCTCTATTAGGTACTAACTGGGTTAATTCCTTTTCATTCTGAGAAACGTTGTGTAACAGGTTTGACAGTCTACATAACTTTAGGCATAAACTTTATAAGAATTAAGCTGAAAATAACATATAAAACAGTATTTTTTAATTCTATATAAAATTAAGTGTTTAGTTAATAAACAATGTCAAAATTACTACATCTAATTCGATAAATATATTTAATTGCATATATATCTTTACTCACAATTTGCTTAAAGATGATGTCTGTTAATATCAATGATAACATTATGCTCAAAGTTGCACAAGCACTTTAATACAGGCATTCAAATTAAACCTGTTTGGCAGATATGTTTTGTTAAAGCCAATGTAATGAATTTTTTCATTTTGACCTTTGAAATACAATTCTACTTTCTTAAAATGTATTTAGGAAAGCAATGTATTAGGAAATTATAGTGAAACTCTGATTTTTAGGTGTCTTACTACTTAGCTTTTAATTTAGTGAGTTACATTTTAAGAGGGAAAAAGAGACTGAATCAAAAGTATGATCAGTTTTTAAAAATAAGGGGAATAAGCACATAAGAAATGAGCCACCTTTTCACCATCTTTATTTCTATGGATTAAAGCCATTTGGGGGCATGGGCAGTGAAAACTGTGCTTGCCTAAAGAAATAATTTTCCTTGTTTCCCACCCCCCACACCTTCTAAGCTATGCCAATGGGAAGAGGAGGAAAGAATAAAGAATACTACCAAGCAGGTACTGCAGAATATACTGAGGTCCAGACTTCCTGTCTCTGCAAGTTCAACTATTGTCTGTGAATTTAAAAAATAGCAATATTTTATTCAACATGAAAAATTTCCCCAGTAGACAAAGCTCCCCAACTAGTGAGTCATAAATATGAATCAATAAACAAGTTGTTCATCTTTACTTTACCACGATTTTCAGTTCAAGCAAAATCCTTTATTCACTTGTGCTATTTCATTACAATAAAGCAACTATATTTCTTGGATATACGAAAAGGCAAGCCCAAATTTAGTTGTAGGGATACCTCTCTGAGAATCAAACCCATCGTATGAAGTAGCCTGTATAGGTGCTGATGATGTGAACGTAATTCTAAATCCAATGAGAGCATAATCTTCAAACTGGGTTATGACTAAGAAAATCTGCAAAACTAATTAGCAGTAATATCTGCAGAATATTGTAATTTAAGAATACCAATCTCTATGCAGCCTGGATAAAGGGGAATCAGACTACGAACGTGCCAGTGTTTTACTCTACTGTGGAAAGGAATCATTGATAAGATTTGTTTTCAGAGTCAGAATAGAACTGGACAATCTAACTCTAGTTGAATTCTCTACTCAAATGATGACATTGAGATTACAAGCTTTACTTTCCTAAATATCTGGGCTATAGAACAAGGGTGCACTGGATACCCAGACAAGTCTTTTAGTCCTGGAATGATACATCTGTACTATCAAACAATTCATTGCCTGCAGGCTGACAGAGTCACTCCAAAAGACATTTTTCCCCCTTTGCACTCTAATACCTGCTACTTAAACACAGATGGTAAATTTGTCAGATAAATACAGACTGTATCTTGCTACCTTTTTCTTTTGCTCTTCTGTGGCTTTAATAATTCCTGGATCTGATTTCCAAGACTTTCCAAAGTTGTAGAAAAGTGCAATACTATTGGCAAGGAATGGAAGATGGATATATAAAAAGTTGAGATGTACCTAGAGTTAAGGAATTTAAAGAATGGTAAATTAAAATTACATATAAAATGTGTAATACATAAAATTATACCATGAAAGAGAATGCCCTACCGATCAACAAGCTGAGGGTTTTTTCTATCAAAATGGGAATATTTCCCATTACATTCATAATTAAATGTAAAACATAAAAATGTGACTGCTTCATAAACTATACATCATGTAGGCTTCAACATTTTTTAGTCATATTCAACACATTTTAGTCAACAATTTTGCATACATGCAAAATTCAGTAAATACATATCTTTTATTCTTTTTAAAATTTTTTCTTTTTTATTCAACTATAAATACATATTTTTAAATGATCAGTTTTAATTGGATAAAAATAAGACTTCTCATGTTTAAAGTCATTAACACACTTTGTATGCATTAAAAAGGTGTGTCTCAAATACCTCAGATTTCTCTTAACTCTAGGGAGTTCAAAAAGGAAAAACTTGCTTCCCCTCTAATTTAAAAGTTTATATATGTACTGTGTACATTTGCCTAGTCAGAGATCTGAGTAATAGTTACAATACCTTAATAAAGATTAATGATTAATTCGGGTAGATGATAGAATTCAGTGAGCATACATTTTAAAGTCTGCCTTTTATGACGAGACTCAAGTTGATCTTAATTGTAGAAGACACACATATATGGATGTGATGAAAACAGTTTTATTATTGTTGCATGTTGTAGTACTGATTCTGACTCAGTGACCCTTTGTCCAAGCAGAACTGCCCCACAGGGTTTTCTAGGCTGTAAGACTAGATAATCTCTCCTAGAGATTCAGTCTCAAAACCCACAGAGGGAGGTAGTTGTATTCTGTCCTTGAAATCCAAGCAGTAGCATTACGTTTTGAGTTAAAATTCAATATTGTGCTGAAAGTCTTAGTTAGCCCTATCAGGTAAGAAAGGTAAATGAAACACATCCAACTGGTAAAGTATAACTAGATTTGCACATAATATGATCCTATACGTAGAAATTTCTAAAGACTACAGCAAGAAAATTGTTAGAAGTAACAAAGCTTCAGCAGAGTTGAAGAGTAGCATACAAACATCCGTCAGATTCTTCTACAGTAACTGAAAGCTCTATGAAAGAAATCAGAAAAGCAATACCACTTACAACAGCCACCCAAAAGATAAAAGAGTTAGGAATAAATATAACCACAGAAACAAGAACTGTGCAAGGAAAACTACAGAACACTGCCACAAGAGACCTACATGAGTGGAAGAATATACCATGTTTACAGACAGGAAGACTTAATATTGGGAAATTGTCATCCTCACCAAAGCAAGTCACAAGTATAACTCTGATCCAGATTATGGAAAAGTAAATCACCAACTTTATATGGAAAGGAGAGAGACCCCAGATAAGCAAAATACTACTAAAGAAGAACAAAATAGGAGGCCTCTTCAACGACAAACCTCAAAACCTACCACATAGCCATGGCATTTGAAACAGTCTACCACAGGTACAATGACAGATGCACAGACCAATGGAATAGAATTGAACCGAGAGGTAAATCCACCGACCTACAGATCACAGACTTCATCATCAAAAAATACACATTTTAATATCTGTTTTGAAATACAATGCTGTCTGTGATGGATAACATCTATCTGCATATACAGAAATACAATTAATACAAGTATTATACAATTTTTTTGCACCAACTACTAAAGCCTGTGATGCACAAACTGAAGAATTGTACCAGCATCTTCAGTGGGAATCAAGAGGCATTGATCATTAGCGATTAGAATATGAAAGTTGGAAAAGCCAAGGAAGGAATTGTAGTTAGAAAATATGGTCTTGGTGGTAGAAATGAATCTGGAGACTGAATGACAGAATTTTGCAAGACCAATAACTTCTGTT